GACATTATAACGCCCATTTAAATTTTCAAACGAGGTTGTTGAAATCCCTGTAACATCTACTTATTTGCCAGTACCCTTCCTATCAGAGCATGCTGTTGCTTTTCAAATACGTTTAGATACATAAACACCATAAGCAGGTGATAGTGGAATAATAGTAAATAAATAAGAAAAGTTGATTTTTCACCACATACAACCAGTCCCTGTAATAAATAAAAAAACCTAGGCTATTTGACATCATAGACACTGCTTTTTAATAGAGAATGGAGCAAGCAAATTTTCCTATTTACTCATTGTCATCTACGAACTTACTAAATGCAAAAACCATTGTGATTCAACACACAAGTACATGTACTCTGAAGCTCATATTAAATAAAAAATGTTTGAGTTCCTCATTGACAACCAGCAACCTGTTAAAATTCCAATGGGTCTAATTATACCCCTTTATTAGTAGACCTGTTTTTTTGTATACTCATAAAGCAGAATTTAAAAACTTTTACATGAAAAGAAGACGTCTCTTGCTGAGGCATTCAGTTCGACATTAGATATAACGATGACGTTTTATCAACGAACAATTCTAATTTCATTCATATGTTGAATCGATATATCCAAATTGAACTCTTTATAATAGAAGGACATTGATGGCAATCTATCAACTTTATTTTATGATAAACATGACAACTCTAACTTTTCTATAGTCAACTTCCCTTATTTATTTAGCAATGACTGCGCATTTCTCCGTTTAAACAATCATGACAAAAGGCACGCGGCGGGTGTGACCTCTCGACGTGGAAACTTACTACTCCATAGCATCTGATCCCACCTCTGATGTTTTGAAAGACTGCTCTGCTCACAATTTGTATTGTTTAATTGAACCCTTCGACATGATTACTTTTCGTTTTGACACTCTTCACTTTTCATGGAAAAGTTAAAGTCATCTCGTTTGCAATACAGTTTAGTTGTTAGTTGGCCATTATTATCTTTATTCAATAAAACACCCAAATATGAAACAGATGTTGTGGACACTGTGGTGTCTTTTATTTCGAGTTCACTGGGATATATCGAGTCAACATACGAATGAAAGTGATTATTGTTAATTGATAAAACGTTGTTGAAATCTAAGAAGGGAGTGAAAGCCCACTTCAGGGTTTTTCTTGTTCGCATCTGGTATTTATTTTACACACTGAATTGTCGATGGATTTTTGCGTTATTTCCCGATCATGACAAGGAGCACACGGCGGGTGTGACCGGTCGGCAGGGTATGCTCACTCCTCCATGGCACCTGATCCCACCTCTGATGTTTTGGAGGTCCGTGTTTGCTCTGCTCCTATTTTGTAATGTTTAATGGACTTTTGAGCTTGAATACTATTCGTTATCTCTACATATTTCATTGTAGAAGTATTTGAATAAAACCTGCTTCATAGGATTATTAAAACATACAGGTCTGCTAATAAAGGAGCACAATTATGCCCGATCGAAATTCCAACAGACTTGGGGGCTCCAAAGACTACATCGATCTTGTGAAAGAGGAACTCCGGCATATTTTTAACATCAATCTCGGACTACTTGTTTTTTTAGCAAATCAATTGTATAATGACTGGTCACGAGACAGGAAAATTCCCAAGTTCAATTTTTCTTGAAGAAATTGTTTTATGATATCAAAACACCTATTCTTTCATTTATCGTTAGGAATGACTATATAAAGTGTTGTAACATAATACGTTTTAATGTCATTTACTTTTAAAAAAGAGATTGAAATGTCTTAAAAACGTAAAAGTTCGTCAGAAATTTTAAAATCCATAATTTATATGATTTACACAATTTTATGAATATGTTGAAGCATAGTGCGTCTTAAGTTTCTCCTTCACAGCAGTTAATATTTTTGTGAGAAGTAAAAATAAGGGATTGGTAGAGTATTTGTTCGAACCTGCATGTACCTTTGTAAGGAATTTCCTGAGGTTTAAGAATCCAGCATAGATAGGATAAATCGAATTCACTTTCCTTGACTGGATTGTAAAGACCATTTAAAGACTGAAGGGTGATTTTGACGAATTCCAATCTTCGAGTGTAAACCTTTGAGTATAAGTTGGATTTCCGAAAAAAGAATTAAATCCAAGTTCTTCTAGCAGAACGCTAGTTAGATGTCTTTAATTGATTGGTTGTATGTTGTTTAACGTCCCTCTCGAGAATTTTTCACTCATATGGAGACGCCACCACTTGCCGGTGGAGGGCTACAAATTTTGACCTATATTTAGGGCCATTGAGCAGTGAGGGATCTTTTTTCGTGCCAGCACCTACTGCGACACAGGACCTCGGTTTATACGGTCTCATCCAAAGGACCGGTCTCCACGTCCCGCAGTGGGATTCGAACCCTTGACGTAAGGATCAACTCCTTACTCCGCGACTCTAGAGCAGACGCTCTAACCACTGCGCCACGCGGGCGACAGATGTCTTTAAAATGTGTAGGTAAATCAAAGTTATGCATGGATATGAATTCTGTTGTTTAACAGTCGCAAAAAATTTATTAAAATTTAGAAGATATCAAATACATGTATGCAGGTAAATACCGTTAACCTGGTTTGCCAGTATTTTGTCGTACATTTTTGTTGTTCTATTGTCGTATTTACATGTGTATATAAAGCTATATAAACGATAGAGAAAAAAATCTACCATTTCTTGTCCCAAATTTGGAAAAAAATAAAACATGCATTTTTACCCTATGCGGCAGTTAATAATGAGTTGTATATCATTATATACACCTTAAAAAGGGAGAGGGGGGTCCTGATTTCGGTCCAAACTTATTATTATGCTAGAAGAAATTCAAATTATGAAACTGATTAGTAGTTACATGTGCATATAAATCACCTATAACAACTTCCATATTAAGGCAAGATGCTGTAGTTGGGGGTCAATATTCATCAGGGTCAATTTTCAACGCGTTTATATCACAAGTGCCGAAAAAATACATTCCAAGATGATGAAAAATGACCCCGGGTATAAATTCCACGACCTTTGGTCTCAATTTTCAACGGAGAAAAAGGACCCTGGTTCAATGTTCAATTTTCAACCCGGGTCAATGCTCTTCGTTATAACGGGGTTCGAACCCACGTCCTTCCGATCACGGAGCGAGCGCTGGCTGCTGCTTGAAATGTAAGAGAAGTTTGAGGAAGAAGATTGTGTGACAGACGGAAGGACGGACCAGGATAACGAGACATACCACAACCTTCTTTAGTAAGTGAGGGTATAATAAAATAAAATTTGTGACTGAGTATGGTTACATTTTACTCGTCAAATTGCAACGTAATATATTACTTTGTTTAGCAAAAAAATCAGTCAAGACAGGTAGTGCTCATTCAAAAAGAAAATGAAGTTGTAGGTGTCAAAGAGCAAAAAGTAGAAATACAATTATGGATTCACTTGGGCAAACTTGGGTAAACTGTAAAATAAACTGTGAAAATGCTTGATAAAGAAGGAATATTTCAAAAGTTAGCCGTGCATTTTTGTATGAATGACAAAGGCAGTTTCTGAGTGGAAGAGACTCTGCATCGGAGCTCGAGAGGAAGCGGATTATCAGTAAAAATCTTCGCAAAAGATGGAAAGTAAGGAACGCTATTGCTGAACTCGTGAAAATTTAAAACACTGACGAACTAACTTATGTTACTCAAACAAATGATAAAATAAAGTGTCAAATGGGAGGAAACATTTTAATGAGTGGGCAATGCGCAAAAGACTGTGTGTGAAATGAAAAGGGGGAGTTATTTTGAAACTATCATGATGTTATGTTTCGGAAGTTACAACTTTATCAAGACTTCCTCGTGGTGACAAACCTGTTGATTCTAAATTTAAATTAAAGTGAGTTTCTTTTGATCAAATGGAATGAAACTGCACATATCGATTAAATAAAGGTTTCGTCGATCTTGAATTTCTGAAAATGAGTTGAGGAAGAGAGCCATTGTCAACTTATTTTATGTTTGACCCTCCTGTATGTATACCAGTGAAGTAGGAGAAAAATAAAGAATGAAAAAGAGTTTCCATAGTACTGAACAGGGGGAAAGTCTTGTTTAATTGTGCTCTTTTGGATCTTTTTTGTTGACAATTGCGGATTACGAATTGGAAAAACCCTGAGCCTAATTGTGAAATGAATGGGTAATCGTGATTGCGAGTTGTAAGTGTTCCTAAATTTGAAATACGCATTACACTCAGTGATCTGTGTGCGACTGAGTATTTGTACATGTCAAAAACGTGAGAATCAAGGAAGAAAAAAGTAGATAATAGCACAAATGTAAAATTATTTTCCTTTTCTCAATATTCTAAGAAGAATGTTCATAAGTACCTACAACTACAAAAAGGAATAAACATGCATTTTATATATATATATATATATATATATATATATATATATATATATATATATATATATATATATATATATATATATATGTATATATATATGTGTGTGTGTGTGTGTGTGTGTGTGTGTGTGTGAATGGCTCAGTCATATTGACTGTGTACCTGCTTCATTATCCATAGCTATTGTTTTGGGGTTGTTTTACCTCATTGTTTGATTCGTAATATAATATGCGTTATAATTTTTTCCCCAATATTTCCTTTTATTTAGCAGCTGGGAATAGGTTTCCTATCAAAGAAATCTCGAGATTTAGCGGTAGACAAACTATGATTTATCTAATTGGCCAATATGCATAGGACAAGTAAATTGTGCTGTTTAAATAATGAATTTGTAACAAAATTTAGAATGCAGCCCTATAATTCAGAATGCAGTCCTATAATTCAGAATGCATCCCTCATATAAAAAGGATATAATCTATGTCATTCAATTTTGGACCAGGCTACCTTGTAGCACACTCTAGATATTTGGCTCGTGGGCTGATTTTGGAAACTCGTGTTGATATATCGTAGGATGTGTTGTATATCTTGATATGTAATATTCTTTATAAATTTCAAATATATTAACCTGATTAATTGTAATTTATTTAATCACTTACTGCCATGAGGAGGCGGTGGTCTAGGTGGTGGGGATTCCTCGTCTTCTGTATTCAACAGATGGATTTTGGGGGACTTGCTAAATTCTAGATAAAGTCCACCATCCACCAAATCCATATTAATATTTTTAGAAAAATTTCGGGCCAAGAAAAATTCATAATCATTGTCCTCTTCATACACTGGAAGATAGACCTCAATATTCCTCACAGCCTCACTATCAAGTGGAAGAATGGCTATGGCCCTCTGATTTGCGTTTTCTTTCAAAGTTCCAACTAGAGTTGGCTTGTGGTGACCAACAACCACTTCTTGTTGAATCAGACCAATGATCTGTAAGTATCCTTGAAAATGGTTTATATTGTCAATAGCCTCTGTCAAGTCGGAGGTCACTATTTTTTCGAAATCTGCATCTAAGAAACGAATGTATTGTGGCAATTCAAACTTGTCTACAACTTCGCGTATAGTATACTCTTTCTCATCTGGTTCTAAATAAAATCGTGCAAGCTGACTTGATGGTAGAAGTACTTCTTTTTCGTCAATCTTGCACACAAGTCCAGCTTCAGGAATCACTCTATCTAACTGAAGTGTGACTCCTTTCTCGATTCGGATCTCTTCGGTGGAATAAAGCCCACGTTTCCCAGTAATAGGTCGTCCAGTTTTAACGAAGTGGGGGAAGTGCTTTATTAATTCCTCAACACTGTTAAAGGTATTCTGCACACACTCGACTTTTACTTTTCCTTTATATCCCAGTGGTATCAGTATGTCTCTGTCAGGGGATAAGTATCCCAGATCGTCTACTTTCGGTTTACCACCAACGCACCGCCCTCGTACTTTGGAATAACTTTTCTTAAAATCCAGTTTGATAAGATCGCCATTTGAAAAGCTTTCGGCTTCATTTTCGCTGTAATATCCATCGGCAACTTTGACAACTGTAGGTAGATTGTTATATGCTACATCTTGTATGGAAAATGTTTCCTCAGACCATTTAATTTTATCTTCTGCTGCCATCGCCTATTTCTTGATTTGCAAAAAATAAACCATGTTAAGTAAACCAGGAAGGTTTTTGTTTGACATGCAGGGCTAGATATGCTATGTTGTTATCGTATTTGGTTATTTAACATATTCAAGGTAAAGTTTATATACGGTATAACGTACATGCGATAAATATTCAAAGAGGGCTATATTTAAAGGCTATTTTTGATTAATTCTAAACTATAAGAATAAATGGATTAACTTCAAACTTAACGTTTTTTGCATTGGTAAGACACCATAAGTTATTTTCCGTCCTGTTTCTTCATGCAATAATATATCATTACAATTTGATAAAAATTAAACAGGTTAAAATTTGAATATGTCTAATCTAATATTATTTCGTTTGTTAATTTAATTTTTGAGGCAAATGTTGCTATTTGTAAATCAGTTTATTTAATATATAACATTTATTTTGAATACTAGTACAGTGAAACCTGTCTTATCCGACATGCTGCGGGAAATAAAATCAATGTCGGATTAGGCAGTGTGTCGGATTACCCAGTGTTGAATATTTCTGAGCATTATCATATGTGTCAGACGACTTCATACAAAAAAAAAATTTCGTTAGGTTAAGAATACACTTATATTTAATTGTCAAAGTGTTTGCATAATTGTGTGTTTCTTTGCTGTATAAAATAGATCTGATTAGCATTTCTTTGAGAAACAGCGTTTGTGATATAGCATTAGTAAACTCTGTACTTTATAGTAATATACGATGTTTTTCTTTTTTTTTTTAATGGCCAAAACATGGAACTGCCGATCGCTTCGAGATGTTGCAATTTAATTTTTACTTACTGACAGTCGATATTAAAGTAAATATTCCGTCTACCTTCTCTACACAGTGGTATTTTTTTCTACAGATTTTTACCATTGTTTATTTCTCAACATAGACTGTGCTATTAATACCGTCACGCGATTTTTCATACAAACGGGACGTAACTCTAAAACTGTGATTGCGATTGAATTTTAATCAAACAGACGTAATATTTTAAATTTAATGGGCAACTGAAGACGGTATTTTTTGCTTTCGGCTAATCTTTTATGTACACAGCCTCGCTTGATTCAGTGTATATTAATCCGGAAATGAAGCGTTTTCTATACGGCAAGATGCTACCTTTCAAATTGTGTTACACAGTAGTTCGCCGTACTCATTTTTTTTTCATAACATGGTTTTACGAAGGACCGTGAATGCATATTTGATTTTAATTTCAAGCTGAAAATCTTATTTATTCTGTAAGGTAAAGGCGATCTAAACATCATGTACTCTTTTTATTTTCTGTCGCGTGGATGCTATTTTCAAGTTCAGTGCGAGAATAAAATTGATAACAACAGGGACATATATATAACAACAGAGAAATGATTGCCTAATTTTTAATTCAAAAACTGTTCGTTTATAATTGCTTACATAAACACTTTCAAACTCGTACATGTAATTAACTACTCTATAAGTAGACCAATCTTGTGACCAAACGGGACATTCACGTTACCTGGCCAGCGGCTAATTATACGGTACACCAGTGTAATTATGTCAGATTACTCAGGTGAAATCATAAAGTAATTATCTAGTTCTGTTGACAAAAAAGCGCCGGAATTCGGAATGTACAGTGGTCGGAATATACAGTGTTTTATTCTATATAAATTATAAAGAAAATTTTGGGAAAAAAATATTAGGTCGGAAAGTCCAGTGTGCCGGATTGCACAGTTGTCGGATTGCACAGTGGGCACTGTACTTTAAATGAGACTATTGGCATTCCAAGTTAGTTTAAAAAGATACTCATAAGTTAAACATTTCAAGTTTCTTGAAGACAACAAAACAAATTCAGTCGAGGTCCTGTAGTGATTTGTAAAATAACATTTGTCTGAGTTAGGACTTCAATCTCCCAATCTCCCAGTTAGACTTTTTTAAATATTAGAAAGATCAACACGGTCTCAAGGATCGAGATGTAGTACATGTCTTTGATGAAGATTGAATCATATTCCATCCCCCCCCCCCCCGCCGTACTAGTGTCATTTTTTAAAAAATATATTTTTATATATCCCCCCGTTGTCAAATTAATGACTGGGTAGTAAATTCATTATTTAATTAAGTACAGTTCCACGTAACAATCAGGCAGCCTATATATAAAAGGTGATACATGGGGGTTCTCAGAAATTAATGATTTTTCACTCACAGTTTTTTCTTGGTCTATAAGCCGTGTATGTGGAAGGAAAAATATTTTGGGTCATTGTTACTATGGAAACCTGGACAAAGAAATTTCCCTAGCAACCGCCCAATTTTTCTTTGTAGATTGACGAAATTTCACTCATTTTGAAGGCTTTATACGAAACGTATATAAAGTGATTTTTTCTCTTATTTAGTGCAGTAAGAAAGATACATTTTGAAAGTGTTCTGTCAACATAATAAAAAGAAATTACATTCTCCAATATATTTGCTATAGACACAGGTAAAGATACATGTTTCCCATTTTTTGCTGATTCAGCATTTTGCTTGATTTTAGCAAAAATCAAGTCGATATTATTCATTTCACCATCTTAATACAACTGTTTCATCTATTTCTTGTAAAACCACTGGAAAGCTTCTCTTAGAATTTGAAATAAAAAGTTTTGCAAATTTGAGAATTCCTATCTGTTGCTAAGCAACAAATATGGATGGTTTGATTAATTAAAAAAGGAGAAAATGAAAAGCATTGCAAGAAAAATCGAATAAATTGTAATCATTGAGTACCAAAAACAAATTTTAAAATAGTAAAATATACAGTATTCTTCCTTGTATACTAAAGATTATTTTACAATAAGCTATCTCCATAGCAACAGCAAATTTTCCTTGGCAACGAAGCATTGAAATTTATTTATAGGACATATTCATTTAATTTTTTAAAAAGATTATCTGATTCTTATTGTTGAATTGCTATTGCCCAGAATCGACATTGTCAAACTGGTTTTTCAAAGGTATTTTTGAGTTAATTCATCCATAGCAACAGAACTTGTCTACATAGCAACAAATGTATTTTATAAAGAATCAGTATGTAGCAATTCCTCAACAAAAATCTTTGTCTTTAAAGGATGTTTACTAGGCAAAAACATTCTACTAATGGGAATGAATATTACTTACTTGACTTATGACTGTGGTATTTTTTTCACTTTGAAATAGTAAATCAATAACCTATTTTTCATGTTAGTGGCTTATTGAGACTCTAGAGTCTTAAAATTTCTTGCAAATTCCTGAAAATTTTGCATCATGACTAATATTTGCAACGAAAACTGGATAGTTTTACTTCTGATAAGTTTAAAAAAAAAACAGTAATCTCGTAATAAAAAAATAGATTTTTGATAAGGTCTACTTGTGACAATGCAGACCTGGTGAGGTATTGGTTGACCGAGGCCGAAGGCTGAGGTTAATCAGTTCCCGACAAAGTCCGTATAGTAACAAGTAGACCTAGACAAGTAGACCTAACAAGTAGAAGTCAATAACTGTATTTTAAAGTATCAGGATTTTTTTTTTTTTTTTTTTTTTTTCATTTTTCACAATCCACCTATTTTCTTCATCAAATATATATTAACGCCCATAATATACTTAGTATTTTGTTTTGCAGCAAGATATCATAATTATTTTTCAACAGTTTAAACTGTTTAACAAAGGTGGAAAATAGTATATTAAAACTATAAATATTCAAACCATTTACTTATAAGGAGTTTAGACGGTTCAGTACTGGAGTCTGTGTGCAATTTGACTGGCAGATAAAAATGTAAGCAAAGCTATCAAGATTGGCTAAGACAGAAAACCTAAATAAACAAACTCTTTGTAGCGAGACTTCTGTCTCCTGAATTACAAGATAAAAAAAACTTATTTTGATGAAATTACTACATATGTAATAAGTTATAATGAGATACTAACTCATGAACAAGATAACTAATTTATTATTTAAAAAAATGACTAACTCGTTGAAACGTTTTAACAAGATAACAAACTCGTTGTAACGAGACTACTAATTCCTGGAGAATGAGATTAAAAAATTATTATAATATGATACCAACTCGTTATAAAAGCAAGATAGGAAATTCATTTTATTGGGGTAACTAATTCATTATTTAAGGAATGAATTTAATAGCTACTCCAGTTATACTGTACGGTATAACCTGCGTTGGAACAGTTTTCGCTTTATAAACCGTGAAGCGGTTAATAAAAAAAGCGTAAACTGTTCCAACCCAGGTTATACCAGTGTAACTTGGGCAGCTATTAATAATTCATTTCTGATAATTTAATTTTCCAATTAAGGCAATTTTCCTTAAGAAATGCCTTCAAATTAAGCATATTTTAAAAGTACATCAAGCCAAATAATACGTTTTTGGCGTAGGTCATTGTGACGTAGGCAACATATGTTATACGGTATAAACTACATCTTTTATTCTATCAAATGACGTGTTACAACCAGAATTAAATTATTACGAGATAACTAACTCTCGATTTTTATTATTTACTAGTCTAGTTATGACAGGATATTTACATGTAATAACTAAAAAATATTTTTGATATAACGAGCTTAATGAAAAAATAAAAGAAATACACAGAAAAATAGTGTCAGTCTTGTTTCATGAAATAAACAATTAAAGTTTGTGCTTTAACTGTAATCTAAACTTGTTTTATATCTCCAAGTTGGTTCAATACGCAAGAGATGCTCTAGGTACGAATAATTTCTAAAAGGAGGCAAGCTACTGACAAACAAGTTGATGAAATAAGAATATCAACAGTCTTGTTTATAGTCATAATTTCGCAAGTTCTATGGTCGATACAATGACTTTGTCAGCAAATGCAATCTATCTTTGAATTGTATGCTGACTGAACCCATTCATAGTAATTTTTTATTGATTATATCCTTAATATTCCTTTGTATAAATATGATCTCCTGTTATGGCGCCTCTATTCTCCTGGGTGGTCATGATTTGAAAAAAAAATTAAATTAACATTAACTGAGGATGCTTTTATATTTTTATGACCAATCATGGCTTTGTTGGTCTTGTGAATAATTTAAGATTTTCCC